TTTGTATCGAAAAAATATCGAACCGTGACACCAAAGTATCGAACCGAACCGTGAATTTTGTGTATCGTTGCACCCCTAATATATATATATATATATATATATATATATATATATATATATATATATATATATATATATATATATATATATATATAAGTGGTCCAGTCAAAGTCCGAGTCTCAATTCAACTTAAACACTGATATGAGTTTAAAGAGGGATGTGCATAAAGAAATGCCTGCAATAACTTTCAGGTTATTGCTACTAAATGTGGTTCTACAAGTTACTGAGTCATGGAATCTACTTAGTTTTTCATAGACCGCACAGAGTCTTGTGAAAACCTTCTTTTCCTCATGACTGTGCATGTACAAGATTGTAAACTAAAGGTTTTTACATGGAATTCCCCAACGATAAATTTCAGTCAACATGTTTGCACATGTACATGCACACATAAAACTGTGAAAAAAACTCATCCTTTCAACCTTTCAATGAATATTCATTTTGTGAATAATGTTACAGAGATCCTCTGCCAATAGCTATAAGCAAAAAAGAAAAGAAAAGAAAAACATCTGTCAGATTTGCTAACCTCTCAACTGAAAGCAAAATGTTCCCATGATGAGAGAGTTCTAGAAAACAAATCTGCACCGCTTTGGCAAAATTCCAGCAACCAAACCCAAAACTGAAATTAATAAATGGGGGCTACACCAAATTAGTATATCCAGAGGTTCCTCCAAACAACATGTCACTATCCAGCCAAAAGTCTAGATTCCAAAACCCAAAGGCTGTGGTGACTGCCCCAGAGCTAACAGCTCAAACGCTCAATTTAGACATTTAGACATGTCACAACACTACTTGAATTTGAATACCTAAATTCGATTCATACCTATTAGTTATGATGTAGTTTGGCAATTTCACAAACCAAATGCCATCAGGTAAAAAAAAAAAAGTCTGGCCATATCTTCTCTGCCCAAAAACTCAGACAAACACTGATGTAACCTTAGCCCCCGTCCTCAGACAGATACTTGTGGTGGATACTTCCACCAAAAAGCAGACAGAAACTGGCAGCCCTTTAGAAACGAAGGAAAAGTTTTGTCTTTACTAACATTCTCTGTCACACTAAAGATAAATCAAACACTGGTCGGTCTCTTCTTGAGCTCAGTCCTTTCAGCCTGCCAAATGGTTGCATGGTTTATACAAACTGAAATTTGGCTATTTTCATCAACAACAGATGGATTTGCGAACCAAAGGAAAATAGAGTCTAATGCTGCTCTCTTCCAAACTTCAACCAAATGTAGTTATTAAAGAAGTTAAGGAAACCAATCTAATCAAATGTAACGCACACATTACATTTATTGTTACATATATCTGCATGGTGCCCATCAAAAGTTGGATTACGGTGGTACATCAGTTGTCATTTACTTATCGAGGACATAAAATATTCTCAAATTCATCGTTAATAAATAATAACAATGTGTGCATACTTAATATACGTACTGTAAATCTATGTATGTCTAATTTTGTAACAGAACATTTTTTTAGTGGGTGTGGGTAAACAGCAGGAGTGGAGGGCAGTGGGTCTACGGCCTAAGAGGCCTTCCTTTTCCACCACCACAGCTCCTTCTTCGCTCCCACTACACTTTGCATTCCCAAACATCTAACTCACCACTGGAGCTTGCGTCATTGTGCCCTGACTCACTCACTAATGTGCATGCATATGCACAATGCACACACACACAGCAGAGCAATGGCAAATTACTGGGCCTAGTTTTCAGGATCTGGTGACCTGAAGCATTTCCTCTTTCCAACACAGCACCAAAAATCTAGGAAGTGTGTATCCAACACCGAGCCAAGGCCTTTGGAGTGTTTTTCTTTGGTTATAAATGTGTTGTCAGAGTGTCTGTACATCTCTTGCTCTCAGGGTAAAGTCAACAGCTGTGGAGGTCATTCATTAATCTACCATCCCTGGGCTGACATTTGTAAGAGGGCCAGGCTGCCTGTAACCGCTCACTATCTGTGATATCACAGAGCCAGCGATACAGCGGGAATAAGAAGAAGCTGTCTGCTCGGCTGCACCTTGGCCTCCTGCTTTTTCTGTCTCTTACCATCTCTTCTTCTTTTCATCACTATTTGTTACGCTGTCGGTCTGAGTTAGCCAGAAGAGCCATTTTCCACCCTGTCCAATGCTACTCAAGCTCTTTCGATCCAGGAAAAACAAAGAATGTGAAAACAAAAAAATGGAAGTGATGGACACTTTGAAAAACAGAGCCATTCTTAGAAAAGAGAAAAAGGGAAAACAAAACAAAATAGCCCCCGCTTTCACTTCTTTTTTAGATGCTTTTAAAACATATCAAGGATGACTACCTTGCCTTGGAATAGGCTTATCGAGCAGCACAAGTCAAATCAATCTGTGACCGCAGAACAAGGCCTTGGATCCCGTCCTTAAACTTCACTGCAGTATATTCATGTGTAGTTTTGTATTTTTTTTACTTTCACTTTTAGGTCGAAATGACTGAAACGTAGTCACATTCAAAGTATATGTAACCTAAACAGACACACAAATTATGCTGGTTATAGGTTTAACATCGATCATGTTATTGACAAATGGCTGTTTTTTATTGAAAGCTAAATGAAAAGCTAATTTTTTCCATGCGCTTATACTTTTCTCTTGTCATTTCTTTTTCTTCCCATAACTGTTATAACTGTTCACAACTCCTTGAGCGTTTTTTTGCCAGTTTTCTTTAGGTTTCAGTAGGTATACAACCACAGATCAGCAAATTTCTTACTGTTTTTAGGGCAGATTTCCTACGAGAGTGTTAACTTTCATAAACTTGAGTGAATTTATGCAGATAAAAATGCAGTGCAGTTAGTTTCCACATAAAGTGGGGGAACGTGGTCTCACTACTATTTATCCGTCTTTACTTAACACTGAAAGCTTATGTTTGATTTGTTACAAATCAATAATGTCAGGAATTAAAATAGTCTCTCCATTGTTACACTATAGCAGGAAAAGTGGGGAAAGCACCATTCATTCCTCTGGTATACCTGTTTAGTTTCTCATTTATGCAAATATTCAATTGGCCAATCACATGGCAGCAAAGTAGCGCATTTTAGGAATTTGGGCACGGTAACGACAACCTGCCGAAGTTCTAACCAAGCATCAGATTAGAGAATAAAGGCAATTTGAGTGACTTTGAATATGGAATCAGTGATGATGCCAGTTGGACTGGTGTGAGTATTTCGAAAACTGTTGATGTACTGGGATTTTCTCACACAACCAGAGAACACTGAAACATCAGAGAACATCGAAAAAAAGAGAAAAAAAGAGGAAAAATCCAGTGGGCTGCAATTCTCTGGGTGAAAATGCCTCGTTGATGCCAGAGGTCAGGAGAGAATGGCCAGAGTCCATGAAGCTGATATGAAGGGAACACCGAGCCAAACAACCACTCATTACCACCAAGGTATGCAAAACAGCATCTCCGACTGCACAACACTGAACCCTGAAGCAGTAACAGGGAAAACCACACCACGAGTTCACACGTGCCCACCAATGTTAGGGAATAGAAGCTTGAAAAAATGTCGCTTGCTCTAATTTCAGAATTTGTTGTAAACAATATGAAACCATGGACCCATCCTGCCTTCTGTCAGCGGTTCAAGTTCACGATGGTGGTGTAATACTATCAGGGATATTTTGTTGGCACATTTTGTTACCTTGATATCAATGTCACTTTATAACCAGTGTACCCATCTTCTGACAAGCCATGCCACAGAGATCAAATAATCTCAAACTGGTTTCTTGAACATGACAATAAATTCACTCTACTGAAATGGGCTTGACAGACCTTTGGGATGTGGTGTAATGGACAGAAGGCAAAAGGAGGTCCAACCTGATACTAAGAAGGTACACTAAATAAAGTGGTTTTATGCAATAATGATAAGGCTTGCCATAGTGTTTTCTACCTTCTTACTTATGTCCAATTTCATTTTTGTTTTTTCCCTTTGAATGCTGTTCTGACTCCCTTCTGACTCATAATTAATAGTTAAAACCAAATGAAGAGTTGAAGGAAAATACCACCCTGCTGGCCAGGACTGATGAGACTGGGACAGTCAAAGCTGGAGAGTCAAAGTGAAAGGATGCTAGAAAGTTAGTACAGAACCTACTGTGGATATTAAGGAGGTCAACTTTACTACTTTTTAAGCAGACAAGGACATGAACCTTTGATTTTACATTGAGTATATCTCCTTTTTGGAACTCACAAATCCATCCCTAACCCTTTTCGCCAATATGGACCTTTCTGCAATGACCAAACTGTCAGAACTCCACAAGCTAGAGATGACACCCATGTACGTAATACCCCAGTATCTTATCTGTTCAGAGAAAGTGCATAAAAGGATAAGAAATTTGTAACTCTTCCTTTTCCATCCTTCCAGTTGGCTCCAATGGGAGAGGTCTGACCTATCTCACACTCCTAGAGCACTAAAGGGACTCAGTGATCCTTTATCTGAGCATGAAAAACAATGAGTGGATTCCAGCAACTTCTTGGCCTGTCAGTGGAGGAGAATATTCCACAGATGGCTGATTGTGTTATGAAAATGAAATATTAACCTTTGGATAGAGTGATATACTTTGGTTTGTGATTTTCCTCTGCAACATTTCCGATGTTTTTAAGGAATATGATTTTATACTGGTAAACATCAAACGATCAAAACAACAGGCGTGCTACAGTGATGTAATGCAAGCGGCGTATTAAGGCCCAACGGGCAAAATCTATTACATGTGTTGCAACAAGTAAAAGCAGCAATTTTATGACACACTGGAAGAAACAAATTAGACGTTCTTCTCTGAAATAGTCAGCTGTCCTTTGACCACGGAGAACAAAAACAAATCGCTTTGACCTACACTTGGAAAATAAACGGTATCATTCACACTGCACGGCTCAAAAGTATAGCGCAATGACTCACGTGGGTTCGACTTCTCTCCTGACTCATAATTAATGGTGAAAACCAAATGGAGAGGTGAGGGAAAATCCCGCCCCGTTGGCTGTGAGGGGTGAGACCGGGACAGTCAAAGCTGGAAGCTGGAGAGTCAAAGTGAGAGGACGCTGGAAAGTTAGGACAGAACCTACTGTGGATATTAACGAGGTCTTTACTTTACTGCTATTTTTAAGCGGACAAGGACATGAAACTTTAATTTTACATCGAGTATATCGCCTTTTTGGAACGCATCAATTCTGCGTCTTTACGCACGAGAGGAAAAAACAAATAAAACAACAACTTCGACATTTTTGGAAATCTGCTCATTGCAGGGATGTTCAAACGAGCCACATCATTCTGACAGGTAGGATAACTTTCTAGCATACTGTTGCGGGAGCGAAGAAAAACACACCGATTGCGCAAAGACTGTGCGCTAACAATGCACGAGCTCTATGTCATTTTTGATAACTTTCACAAAACAGGAAAGTCAGGAAGAGGAAAGTTACGCAGAGGCAGGATTTCAATTAAAGCCTCTGGCATTTTTTTTTTACTTCTGTAAAGAAGTTGGCTGTAACACTGTGCCTTGTTTCTGAAACTGGAAGAAACTTAATTTATGTTCAGCGTCATTGTGAGGGGGGCATTTCTGGATCATTTAAAGACCTTTATAAAAGTCTTTTCTTTTTTTAAGGAAAAGAAAGAAAGAATAATAAATGATGACATAAACACTCCCTAGACTCATTATTCAACTATAATGCCAAAAATGTAAGTACTTGAAGTAAGTGGTAGTGGATAGAACAAAAGAACGGGCAGTTTAGATCATCTGATTGTTTTCAGTTTCTTCATGAGACTGTGTTCTATTTAACCTGTAAGTGCCACTGCTGTCTTTGTCAGGACACTTGTCTGAAGGGATTTTTGTTCTGATGTACTTATTTGCTTAGTTGCATAGCTTTAAACTGGCAATACTTTCCTTTTTTCAATGCAGATTTGATGTTTCTATAGAATAATCTTCTTTAGTTCCCAAGCTCAGAGAAAACCGAGTAATTTTTAAACGTTATCTTTTAACTTTTCTTCACAGGCTCCTCAAAGGATGTGACTCTGCCAACTTGACCACCCTTGCCTCTGTGTCCAGTGCTGTGCCGCCCTCTGCTGTGTGACCGAGGAAGGTCAAGAAGGGCCAGGCAGTATGAGTAATCAAATAGAGGAGGGGATGAACCCTGTCATAGTCATCCACTACAACCACTCGGGAAAGTGGGAACGGCCCCGCGTCAGTGGGGCCTGTAAAATGGTGCTGCTGCTTCTCATCTGCGTGCTGATTGTTCTGGAGAACATTACAGTTCTCCTCGCCATCTGGAGGAATAAGCGCTTCCATAGCCGTATGTACTTTCTCATTGGAAACCTAGCGTTGTCAGACCTGCTGGCTGGGGTGGCTTACATGGTTAACATCTTTACCTCGGGACCCAAAACCTTCTTCTTGACACCACTGGAGTGGCTGGCCAGAGAAGGCAGCATGTTCGTAGCCCTCAGCGCTTCTACCTTCAGCCTTCTGGCCATTGGGATTGAGAGGCACATGACAATGGTGCGTCTGCGCCCCTGCGAGACAGCAGGTCGAGGTCGGCTTCTAGCACTGCTGGTAGCCTGCTGGCTTGTGTCGGTACTGCTGAGTGCTCTGCCCAGCCTGGGCTGGAACTGCCTAAACAATCTGCCTTCCTGCTCCACAGTGCTGCCGCTCTATGCTAAGAGTTATATTGCTTTCTGCATCAGTGTGTTCAGTGCCCTGTTGGTGGCCATCATTATACTCTACATCAGGATCTACCGTCTGGTGACCTCCAGTAGCCGCAGGGTGAGCAGCCGGCCTTCAGAGCGTTCGTTGGCCTTGCTTCGTACGGTGGTTATTGTGCTTGGGGTTTTTGTCATGTGCTGGTCTCCCTTGTTTCTCCTGCTCCTGCTGGATGTTGGTTGCAGTCCAGATAAGTGCCCTGTTCTCTACCAGGTGGACTGGTTCATTGCCCTTGCTGTACTCAACTCTGCCCTTAACCCCCTCATATATACTCTGTCCAGCAGAGAAATGAGAAGCGCATTTTTCCGGTTGCTGTGCTGTTGTCAGACCAGCATGGAGCACACTGGGACTCCTGCAGTGGGCAACCCCAACCTAGGGACAATCATCCCCACAGGAGAAAACAGCAAGACAAGTTTTGGTGGAGGAGGGGGGAGCGGGGATGGGAAGTCTACAATGAATAGAGGGAAGGTTCCCACACCTGTGAACTTAGACAACAAGCACGGAGATCCCTCCGCCACTGCCGTGCCCCATCCTTCAGGGCCAGCAGACCTGCTTTCAGCTGTACTTGTGAAGGCGGGAGCGCTGCCAGCCCTCAACAAGTTTTAAATGGAAAAGCCTAAATGAGGTGTTACAGTTACACAGAAACAGACTGGTCTGATATAATCCTGCTACCAGCCACTTTTTGCTTGTACAGTGTCGTTTGGGAAGCATGGCTTAGATGAAGTAATGATAAATACATTCAGAAATTCATTTGGAACCAAATGCATCTGATTCTGAATCATAGTACAAAGGAACTCTTAAAGCCACTATTTACAGGAACTCAGATGTCTTTTCCAACACTAAACTCGCTCGAATACAGCGTCGGAGACTTACTTGGATTTAGAAATTTTTGACATTGAATTCATATTGACTGGGGATGCCGTAAAGCATGATTTACTCTTTTAGTGTTTTGTCTGTCATTGAGTTGGGTTTTTTTTCTTGTCATTTTAAGCAAAATGATCAAATTCTTGCACTTTTCTTTTTTTTGCATGTACTATACGCAGGAAATCTTCAAACACCTGCATTTTTCATTACTTGACTGATAGACTATTTATTTTCTGTGAGAACATTTGCCACCTTAATGCTACACATCAGTGTTTTATTTTTTGTTTGTTTTTTGCTTTGTGTGCATGAAACCCATCATGGTACTAGGACTTTACTGTTCACTTTATTATTGATTATTTGCAATGCACTGTGAGAGAAACCTATTCTATAAGTTTAGTGCCAGACTAGCAGCCTCATCAGGCTGTGATGTGCATAATTACAAACCAAAAACAACAAAAAACCTGTTGGTTGAAGGAAAAATGACACTGCTAGTAGTTGATTCTTACCACTAGTGGGCAACATAGTAAAGTATGCCCTGATGGTAGTGCTGCAGGAGGTGGTGTTAATTTGTGGGATTCAACTCATGGACATTTCAGGTTCAGGTCAACAGAAGCTACACTGTGAGCAAAATCGGCCTGGCTAATAGCGACAATCATGAAAATTTTAGGGTCTCATCAGCACATCTACAAACCACTTGCCCATCAACTAACCACTAGTAAATACGAGTGTTGGATGTGAATTATTTAAAAGTTGTAGACTGTAAATGACATTTATGCTGAGGGTGATGTATTGCCTGATACGTTAAATAGCAAATAAAATTCTATTCGCTTTTATCCGATTTTCATGCGTCATTTTGTTTTATGGAATCAGGGGCTCGTTCCGAATCCCCTTCCTCTCTTTTCGTCTGTCCCTGTGATCGCCAGCTGCATAAATTTGCTAAAGAATAGTCATAAAACCCGATGATAAAAACCTTTTGCCAAATGAATGGCAGATTCTACTACTATCAATCCTTCATAAGATCCTTATTGAAGCCTAAGCCGTGAATTCCACACATTTATTAATGTGCGGTATAATTTGCCGTTGGTTTATTAATTGCTTTTCACAGAGGAGAGAAGAAATGTCATCAGATTTAACCTGCTGCACTCATTTAATACCCTAATGGGAGCACGTTCCTGCTATCTTACACGCCTACACATGCAGACATGGGTCAGACGCTGATGAATAATGCAAAAAAAATTCTTCATCCTTATTATGACTTGATCTTTCCAGTCAGTGAGGTCATTTGCCGATAAAAGGCATACTACTTGTGGCTACTGTGGAAAAACAGTCTGGGTGTTGTATGAATTCTATGAAAATCATTTAGGATGTTTCTTTAACAAAAAAAGAGTGATACCTGTGTGAATGATTTGATTGGCAGAGTATAACAGATAATAATCAGATGTGTAAGCAGCATATTTTCTAGACGTTGATAACTAAAGATAAGGAAAGAATTTGTTTGTTTTTGTCCTAAAATACTGCTGCACTAAAGTGTACTTTTACACTGAGCTGACAAATGAGCAGAGTTTGATCTTTTTACTGCACCGCTAGACCAGACAGGTGCTGTCAGAGTGGCATTTTATACTTGCCTCAGCTAAAGGATGTGTCTCGGCTCTGCACTTCCAGTTCTGATGAAGAGAGACAGCGAGGACGCAATACCGGCCGAACATTTCCAGCTTAAAGGTCACTGACTGCTTCCTGTCAGAAATGTCTGAACACGTTCTTTTCTGAATTAGCTGGGGATGATTGTGGCCTTATGCCACGTGGAACACCGGAAAATGTCCAAATGTTGAGCTGTGTAGTGTGATTTATAGACAGTGTATCCTGTGTTTCCTGAAACAGTTTACCCAATCTCTGCTTCATCCTCACCATTGCTTTATTAAATCACATCCTCATTTTAGTTCCGCTAAATCTGTCTTTTTTTGGTCTGAAAACAGGTTTGCAAAGAATAGAAGATAAATAAAAATCCATAAAAATAAGCAACATACAGAATTATAGAAAATTTCACTCTCAGAAATTTCACCGAGGGGATCCAGCGATATTTAAAACACGTTAAATTAAATCTATTCCAAAAAGGATGATTATTCTTCATCCCCTCCTTAACATAAAGTTTGGAGTTTGAGATAAATCTTTTAATGTCATGGCAAAAAAAAGTAAACTAAATATTCTGGCACTATCATGTACAAATAATGTAACAGCAAGATGGACTGCTACTCCAAAACATAGACAATACAATGAAAAACAAGGAATGAATAAATAACTTGGGGGAAAAAAATCATAGGCAGAATTGTCCAAAATAGAAGCAACACAATCACAGTGGTCAAGATTACAACAATGTGGGATTTTTACAGGGACCAAAGTATTTAACAGCTGTGCAGATCAGCTGATCTCAGTGTCACCAAGCACCGGGTGACGGCTCAGCTGAAGCAGTTTGAGACATTCCACTCGCCAAATCTCAGCAAAACAGTCCATGCTGACTTAACCTGCCCAGAGCTGCGGTATCTTTGCAAGCCACTTTGCAACCCACCTGTATTCCACCCCTTTTACTGCTCAGTTCTATGCTGGGATTTTGCTACTGATCTCACTCCTCCAGCTGCCTCCAGAGTGGGGAGGTGAGCTCCTTATGTTTTTATGCTTTATGAGAAAGGGTGGGGAGGTCCCAAAACAAAGCTACACTAACATTTACAAATGACTACAAATGTAACCTAAGATTTTCTTTTGACTGTAGTGGTGTTGGCTGAAATGTTATTTAAGGACGTGTGTAGTATGTATGTGTACTTTATGTGTTAAGAAAGTACAGTGAATTACAGTTTCCAGCTGATTTTAGAACCCCTTTTTTCATTCTGACCTTGTATTTGGATCAACGTATTAGAAGAAAGTCATAAAAAGATGTCAGTCTGTCTTGAAATGACAGACAGTTCTTGGTTGACCCAAGTACATTTTCTTGAAATAACCTGCTTTACAGTGTTGGAGATGTGCTGGCAAACGTTTAATAATATAAACCTATAATAACTTACAGTATATATCAGCTGTGGTTTCCTAACATCACTTACTGCCACTGATAATGATTTTTGTACAAAACCTTCTTAACAAACACAGAAGCAGACAACAGTCATTATTTTTTAAGAGAGAAAACAAAAAGGTGGAAATAAAAGACACAATGTTGCACATGTCGGCATCATTTTCTAATCCAAAAGCCTTCTTTCTTTGCCCAACATCTATGCCCAGATAAAGAAAAGGACTTTAGCCCAGGGGCCTTAATTTGGGGACTGTGAAGACATAAAGTAGAAAAGTGAATAAATGTTGTTTTTCTAAATAATAATCCTGTTCTTCAAATCCAAGCTATGACAGATTCAATTTCTCCAGTACCTGAAGCAAACACCGTAAATGGTCTGTGTGCTAACTAGGTCAATCACCTTAATAAATCATGTTAACTAAATAGCCATGACTAGTGTTCTTTAAGGATTTAGACATGGTAGATTTGTGTTATTCTCTGTGCACAATGCTTATTTGCATATGACTAATGTGAACACAACGGAGGACAAGAGAATCACACCCCCTCCCATCATCACAATCCTGGCTTTATACCGCTGTGTGCTGAGGAAGTGTGCATGCGTGTGCATGCATTTGCACACATCCCGTTTTTGTGCACAGACGTGTGCACGCCGCGTGTTTCAGAGAAAGAACAAAGACTCCATCTGGTCCAGTCACTGAATGTGCCAGTATGAAACACTTCTGTCATTCTCAAGTCCCTTTTTGATGTAGCTTGGAGGTGGAGTGGAGCCAGGCCGAGAGCTGCGAGGGGTCCCATTTGAGGCGGCCACTCACGCTGGGAGCTCCCGAGTTGAAGCCATTCCCTGCTCTGCAGCCGAGTTGTACCACTCTCACCAGAGGAGGGAATCATTCATCTGGTGTGTGATGATTCTCCTCCCCTGCCTTCACCTCCATTGCTGCTCGATTCAATACAGTGTAATTACACGTGGAACAAAGAGAGCAAAGACTCAAACAGACTTTGGTGATAAGGATCACGGGGCTTTATCTAGGGAGCAGGTGGGATGAAGCCGAGGGAGCCGAGGCAAAGGTCACTTTGCAGGAGGATATCTGGAGGAGCTTGCTGAGATTTGGATTGGTGGACACTCCTCCCAGCATTCCCCTCAGCACCCCATTGCCATTAATTCTCCTGTCTAGTGCTGATCAAGTAGAATGAAAGCAGAATAGTTGAATTTGACAGCCTTTTTTATCATCTCAGCTAAGTCATTTTTTCATTTTTTACTTTTTGCTTCTCAGCATCAACAAAAACATCTTAATATACTAGACAACCACGAGACAATATCTGATCAAAGATGAGCACAGAGCCAATTCTGTGGCTTGTAGGGCTGCGACTAATTATTCACTCTTAATTGATTTTTGATTAATGTACTAATCCTTCTACAAACTGTGTGAAAATAACAGAAAAATTCTCATCTCCATTTTCCAAAGCCTGCTTAGATGGTTTTAAACAGCCTATTGGCTTAATAACAGTGTGAATGGTAAAAAAACAGAGACAAAGAAAACTGCACATTTTCACATAAACAGTAATATTTGCTAGAGAAATTACCTAATGACCTATTTATGTCTGATTAAATGCTGAGAGACTTACTTACTGGTTTTTCATATGAGAATAGAGACTCTGTTTTCATCTATTTTTATCTTTATTCCTAGCCATCATGTCTGCGCTTGATAGTGGAAATATTTTATTCTGTCATGATCAGCTGTCCAAAAACAGTCTGAAGTATTTTTCATCTGTGCTCTGTGTCTGTTTGCAGGAATTAATATTGTGTTCATCACCCAAACTACACAAACTACACAAACTACACGACATGCAGGCAACAAAAACAGGAGATTTTTGTAAAGTAATATTTTAATGTCTCCCAGAAAGGCTCAAGGAGGACATCATATCTCCAGTTTATCAGGTTATCTGTCATGACGCCACACAAATACCACACCTAGAAAGTCTGAAGTCTAATGCATTGCACCACATAAATGGAATTTAATATTTCACCGGCCACATAATTAGGTATACCAGTTTAACTGCCCGTAAACACAAATATCGAATCACCCAATCACATGGCAACAACTTAATGCATTTATGCTCATTCATGGTCAAGACGACCTGCTGAACTTTAGAGGATCAGAATGAGGAAGAGAGGAGATTTAAGTGAGTTTTAATGTGCCGTGGTTGTTTGTGCCCGACTGGCCGGTATGAATATTTCTCATTTTCTCACAAACCATCTCCAGGGTTTACAGGAAATGGTCCATAAAAGAGAAAATATCCAGTGAGCGGCAGCGCTCGAGAGATCAAAGAAGAATGGCCAGACTGCTTTGAGTTGATTGGAAGACAACAGTAACTCAAATAACCACTTGTTAACAACCAAAGTATACAAAAGATTATATCTGAATGTAGTACAAATGGAAAAATGAAGCCACTGGACTACAGTGTGGACCACACTGTGTGTCATTCCTGTCAGCTGAGAATAAGAAACTGAGACTACAGTTCAGACGGAAACATGTTGCCTGGTCTGATGAGTCTTGATTGTAACTGCAACATATGGATGGTAGGGTCAGAATTTGGCATGAACAAGCTGAATGGCTCCGTCATGGCAGCAGTTTAGGTTGGTGGTGGTGATGTAATTGTGTGGGGGTTATTTTCCCGGAATATTTTGAGCCTCTTAGTACCAAAATGAGCATTGTTTAAATACCACAGCCTACCTGATTACTGTTGCTGGCCCGTTTTTGACCACAGTGTACTTTTTTTTCTGACGGCTGTCACAAAGCTCAAATTATCTCAAATGCCCTGCACAGTCACCAGAACTCCATGGTCAGTGAGTGTGCATTTTAAACCTGAGTGTGATTGCGTGTGGTGTGTTAAACAAGCTCATCTTTGTTCTATTTTGCAGTACCCGGGTCTCTCTTGCAAAAGAAAAATTAAATACAGTACCTGATTAAATGAACACACGTCATGTTTTCATCAGTCTGAGCAACCAGCCGTTCGGCAACAGCTGAACAGATAGGTGGCAGGAGTGGGTAAGCAATCTCTTCAAGATTCCTTCCCTCTCAAAACCCCCCAAAACAGCAGCTGCCTCCCTCACCCAGCCTTCTCTGATTGCAGTCTTCTGGCAGGCTCTGACGGCAAACACACACCTGCTCACACTGACCTCCAATTTATCTCTTGTACGCCTGCCTGCCACAACTGTAGGGATTAACATGTCTGGAATAGGGGTTTAAGTGAGAGGGAGGATGGCGGCCTCTTAGTCTGACATGCATGTCCCGTCCCTCACTTGTGGCACTGACTTTGTGTGCACAGCTGGCTAATTCCCTGCCTCTGTGCATGCAAACAGCCTGGAGGTTTCTGTGCAATATTGTGCGAAAGAGAAACTGAGGCTGAAGATTCAAAGTGTGCATCTCATAAATGTTAAAGCCCAAGGCAACTTGGGGCTGGAGATGGAATAAATATTTCTACATAACATTCATTAAACACAACAGATGTCTGAGTCTGTCATCAGGTCCGGGTTTAAACACTGCAATATTCGGATGGGTCACCTAGTCCCCACCGAAATGTCTCGTAAAACAACCAAAATTTTTACGTCTTTGTGTTCTTTTCACAATCAGGCTTCTACAACAGCAAGACTTTGACCCTGAAACAAAAGGTATCTAAACTGTAAGAAATCCATTTATGTATTGAATACTTCTACTTGCATGTTATGGATCTGTGTGTATACGTTATGTGGTTCCCTAAATGCTGTCTGGCTCTGAGGTGATCACAGGTGTTCATTCCTCCAAGCTTATCTGATGGATTAACAGCTGGCGTCACCGCATAATCGCCGACACCCACCACATCTGACATTACACACATTCTGATTCTGATATGACAGCCGCGCGCACACACACACACACACACACACACACAGTGGAAGACACATTTTTCCGAATTACTGGATATTGCTGAAGGGATGGAGCCACTTCTCCAACCTTCACAAATGCGCTCATAAAAATATAGCTTAACAGTAGGCAAGTTTCTGTCTGATAAAAACAAAAGAAAATCGAATAAAAACACCCTTCAAAGCAGAGAACAGCTAAGCGCTAGACAAAAGCCAGAAAAATGTGGGAATATTTGTTTGATTTTTACATGCTGCATTCCCGCTGTCGTTATTATTCATATTCCTCCCCAGGGAAGCTTGTCTGAAAAAATGGGACTGAAGCAGCCCCCCCTCCCCGTAATGTCACCGTCTCACTCTTAGACTCACAAACACCCATGCGCACACTTGTTTGGAGTCTTATTGGGGAAGTACAGCCAGGCTGCGTCTCCCTCCCATCCCTCCTGCTCCTCCTCACTTTCTTCATCTCCCTCCCTCCCATTTTCCCCCCTTCACTCTTTCTCCCCAAAACAGGGTGATCCAGCTCGTCTCCTCTCTCCGTCACGCGGGTAATCAGCCTCTGCTATTTCATTTGCCTCAGTAATGAAAGCAATCCCAGTGCTTTTCACTGCAGCGCAGCCCAAATAATGAGGACTGCCTCACCCCTCCTCAGCCACACCTCACCCCTAGTTCTCACCCTCTCCCTCCCAACCCTGCTGTTAATGGATGAAGGAAAGCAAATGTGTGTGCGTGTGTGTTTGAGTATGTGAAGCACGCAATCTTGCCAAGTCCTTTGTGCCTCTTTTCTCCTGCTGCAAAGGAGCCTATTGTATACAATTTCATCAGCAATGCTCTTAATCAGAATATTTTGGAAGGTTTTTCCCGCCTACATTAGTGGTTCCTAACCTTTATTACACATGACTAACATCAACGTGTTAGAACTACTCACAGGATGCACATCTAAGCTGTAAGCAGTTATTCTGCTATTTCCCATTCCCCAGTAGCTTTTCCAAAGGAGGTAAATTGCAAACAAACAAAGAAAATTATTTCATAATAAGAAAATCAAAATGAGTAAGAAATTAAAAAAATGTTGCAAAGCAGAAATGAGATTTTTATTGTTTCCAAATCTTCTACATTTCCTCCCCAAGTCAGGAACCACTAATTGTGATTAAAAATGTACAAGACAACCCTTTAAAAACACTGATTTGATTACAGGGTAATGCAGAGGTTATAGAGTGCAACCTAACATCTTTCGCGCCTTTTTTAAATTTTCATTTTTATAGCCTTAAGAAACAATGATTGAAATTAATTTTCCTTTCGAATGTGTCTGGTAGAAACCATCCCTTTCCTAACAGGAGTTTTAAACCACACAGTCAGTGCTGTTACCAGACAGCAGCAATGAGACTCCATCCCATTTTGCAAACATCTAATTCATCTTCAAGAGGGCCTCTGGAACCAGCTTCCAGTTTGGATTCGGGAGACAGACACCATCTCTACTTTTAAGATTGGACTTAAAACTTTCCTTTTTGCTAAAGCATATAGTTAGGGCTGGACCAGGTGACCCTCAATCCTCCCTTAGTTATGCTGCAATAGGTGTAGGCTGCCGGGGGATTCCCATGATGCATTGAGTATTTCTTCTTCAGTCACCTTTCTCACTCACTATGTGTTAATAGACCTCTCTGCATTGAATCATAATTAATCTCTGTCTCTCTTCCACATCTTGTCTTTTATCCTGTCTTCCTTCTCTCACCCCAACCGGTCGTGGCAGATAGCCCCGCCCCTCCCTGAGCCTGGTTCTTCCTGTTAAAAGGGAGTTTTTGCTTCCCACTGTTGCCAAAGTGCTTGCTCATAGGGGGTCATATGATTGTTGGGTTTTTCTCTGTATGTATTAATGTAGGGTCTACCTTACAATATAAAGCACCTTGAGGCGACTGTTGTTGTGATTTGGCGCTGTATAAATAAAATTGAATTGAATTGAATTGAACTGAATCTTCTACTAACAGCATGTAATGACTATGCCAGACAAAAATTGTGCAATATTCAATCAAATGTGATTTAATATAGCCAGTGTTTTTAATAATCCCAATTTGTTTTGGCTTTCAATATTTGATTCGCATCTCTTTCTACATATGAACCTTCTCCTCAGTTTCTGGGCTTATCTTATCTTTAAGTTAGTCAAAGACGAGACCAGCTTTTATAAACCCAGTATTGTCTTTCAAATGCAAGAAACAAGAGATAAAAGGTCAGTGAGCTCAAGGCAAATACAACACAGCTTCTCTTCGCTTATGAAGGAAAATCAACAACGTAACTCTGTCAAGCAAATCAATAGAAAACTGTACGGAACTGACTGGATGGAAATAAGCAAGACTTTATGTAGAAAAGCTTTTGGAATATAACTGCTGCTGGTAAAAACCTTTTACACTTGAAAATAGCATACTTGCAACATGGATTTTTCAATGTTTACAAAAGGGTTTCCCAAGCCTGAGGATGAAGAAGGAATCTAATCTGATACAGTAAAACTCAACTGACTGATTCTAGCAGAAATATGAAAAATCAGCACAATGGCTGCAAGGTTTTCACCTAACAACAGCAATATTTTACCAGTGTCGATGAGGTGTTAATGTGGAACAGCAATAATTTAATCTCAGTCTCCTGCTGGTCTTCGGTACATTCAGAATACACACTTTCTCCTCTTCGGAGTTCTGCAAACATCCACTGGAAAGAAATGCAATGAAATGAACGTTTTTTTTGTCCTTAAGTCAGCCTCGTTTGGATGAGAGAGAAAAGGTGCCTCAAGTTCAGGTACTGCATTTCACGTGAATCAGTCCCCAAGATGTTTCAGCTTGGCACGGGTACACAGCAGTGGTAGGTAAGATAAGCTCCTCATGTGTTGAATCATCAAAAGTCTTCCAGTCAAAATAGAGGAGAACGCTTTCACTCCACTGGGTAGATCCAGTCAAACATTCATGTTTGAAGTGTCTGATCACTGAAAGGGCGCTCCAGGGTGGTCAGAGTGTCTGCACCAGCACTGGGAATAGCAAGGACAGGTGCTCAGCGCCTCTGATCGGGAGTTTGTGTGTGGTGTAAAAGTGGATGAGCTCTGGGATGGTGTCAAAGGGCGGGCTGTTCTGTCCCAGCACGTACTTGCCATCTTTACACTGGGTGAACTTCATGTGCATGAAACCTTGACAGCTCCTGTGAGAGTGAAAGCAGAACCGTAGATTGAGGACGGACATAAAAAGGAGAAAGAGCAAAAAAAAGAAGAGGGATGACATTAAATGTAGGGCACATAAAACACCATTCAGGCTTCCACACATTTTGTCACGTAATGACGGTGAAAGTGACAGGCCAGATTTATGCTCACGCCTTTTTTTCTTTCGCTTTGAGGACACAATTTTAACCAACATTTAACACCATGTCACAAATTAGGAAGGAAGTGACATTATGATGGATGGATAAGCGGTGTTTTAACACATGGTAGAGAAACACAAAGTCAGAGGGAGAGCGAGAAAGATGAATGCTCCAGACTGTGAAAGTGGTTCCGCTCACAGGACCACACCTCCCTTTAAAATCGGTGCAGCGCGACAGGACTTCCCCTTTAAGAGCCAGCCAGCCAGCCATGATGTATGTCTAATTATAGAAGCGGAGGGAAAGACAAGGGCTGAAACCGGTCACCATAATTATCATTGTTCAAGTAAACCAAATTAAATTTTGAAGAGCAGTGAAACCAAAAGCACTCACTGCAACTATAAACAGCCAAACAACCGGCAGTATGTAACGTCCCACTGGCTTCCTGAGCACCAGAGCCAGACGCTTCATCATGTCAGAGCTCAGAGTTGACAGCGTGTTTCCATCCAGTCCTGTATGTTTGGGGATTCTTTGTACTAAATGGTAGATTACAACCTACCAGTTCTTGTGCATATTACATGTTGGTTTAAACCTAGCAGGCCTGCCTACTTCAGTGCTGACTCACTTTGACACGGCTTCCTCCTGTCTCCATTAAAACATCCTTAATCAGTCACTGCTTCTATTGTTCACATTTCTGTGTAATCTTAGAATAGCATAGGTGGGGTTCACATTTTCCAAGGACAGATAAGAGCAATGGCCGAAAATAAACCCACCCCAAAACATACAGATAATGCATTTTTTGATCAAATGTAGGTAGTACTGCTTGTTATTACACAAAGAATCTTTTCTGAAGGTTCTATTGTTGGTATTAAATTAAAAAAAAAAAAAAGCCTACCAATCAGCCAAAACACCCTGATAAAGATTAAACTGATACATCTTCATAGAAGGACAGTTTTCTCCCTTATTTCAATAGTTTAGTCTTATTTCAGTAGCTTAGTCTACCTTTTCTAGCTATGGTACTGGCACAAGATCAGCCAGTTTAGTTAAACCACTGCACTAGATGGTAAAACCCAAAGGATTATGAAGATACACATACCTGAGTTGGGCTTTTACAGATTTTAAGGGTTCAAATTAGTATTAGGAGAAAAAAAAACCAGACTCTGGGGGTCACAACAACAAGTTATAAATCTCTGTAAAATCAAACATGCAGATTCATCCATTGTGGTAACCCTTTTGGGAATAAGGTGGCATCTGAAAGCACTTTATCTTTTTTTTTTTAATCTTTAAAGTCAGTTCTTCTTAACAAAGCTTTTTTTTGTATTCATCAGGTTGCTTGTCTTTTTGGTGTCTTTTAGTGATGTATGTCAGTAGATCTCAGGATCATATTGCTTTAGCTCAGGGGTGCCCAATCCCAGTCCTCGAGAGCTACCGTCCTGCAGCTTTTAGATGCATCCCTACTCCAACACAGCTGAATCAAATGGTTTGGTTACCTCTTCAGCATGCCATCGTGTTTGGCAAAGGCCTGATAACAAGCCATTCATTTGATTCAGCTGTGTTGGAGTAGGGATGCATCTAAAAGCTGCAGGATAGTAGCTCTCGAGGACTGGGATTGGGCAGCCCTGCTTTAGCTGGACCCTGAAGGTTGACTTCAGTGAAGGCCAGCTTCTTTATGGTTCAAAGAGTTTCTGGATATATGACTTCTCCTGCACATTTTCCAGCTGTTGAACCATTACCAGTACTGACCTTGTTGCTGGAGAAAAATGTGCGTGTGTGTGTCACATCCATCTTCTCATGTAAATGAGTAATGCATGAGCTTGTTTATATGTCAGCACAACACGGTGACACACTGTGCCTCCCTCTCCCCTCACGCTCCTCTTCCCTCTCTCCTCTCTCTGCCTAATTTCCTTCTTGTGTGTCCCACAGAAGGTAATTCATATTCATTAGTGATTATGTGGAGGATGATGTGTGCACTGAAGTGTGCTCTACCTGGCTGATTACCACTTAGAAGGCCCGCTGGGGCCGTGAAGGAAGGCCACAGAGAGAACCCAAGGTTGGTGTGAGGACAGACCGCTGATGGGAGAATGGTGGTGAGGCCAGGACAATGGATCATGCTAGTAATTACAAGGGAGAGATTTGACCAGATAAGCAGTATTGTGCCCTGCAAATGAGTATCGGGAGGAGAATCAGTGTGGCAGTGATCTTAAGTGGAGGTGATGGTAAAGGGAAGGGAGGGGGAGAGAAGGGGGAGAGACAGATGGAGCGGTGTGGGAGACTGCAATATAATATCAGTAGCTCAGGTGGTGACACACACATACTTTCCACACACTCCTCCTACCACACTTGGCAAGAAAAAAAGAGAAAGATGCAATTAAACTGTATAGCTGTTCATCTGAAAGGGTGCTCAGGTGTTATGCTGCCTGTTGTTGCGTGTGCATGCATGCGTGTGTTTCTTACCGAAGAGAGAGGGAGTAGTCCGAGCGGTTGGCCTGACTGTTCCTCACCAAGTAGCTACACTCTTTACACAGTGTAAGCAGCGACTCCGCTTCCGAACGTGACAGCGAGCCGTGGTACCATCTGAGCAAACGCATAAAGACATGACAAGGCATGAGGGGAAAAAAGCCAAAACCAATAAACAAAAAAAGGGTCAGTTTTACACCTTTGGGAACAGATGTTGACATGTGTTATAAAAATATATTGTAAGATTGACCCCGGTACGTGCAGCAGCAGTCTTTGGTACAATGTGGACCCGAGAGTAAAGTTTTTCCTTCTTTCTTCATTTTTTTTTTATTATTACAAAAAATGTAATGATGACAAACTCAGAGCACCACACATTTTACTTTCCTAGCTCTAAAATGTCAACAAGCCAGGATGCCTGCTAGCAGGTTGTGGGATCACACAAATTAAATCCATCCTCAGTGGGACACAGATATCTGAAGCAAAGTTTGCTGCAATTCATCCAACAGCTGAGCACTTAAAACTGCAAATGCCAAACCCATCAGTTCTTTCTCTTGGCTAGCATGAATGTCCAGACAGAATTTTATTGCAGTGCATCACTCACTGCTGAAAACCTTCAGTGTGAACATAAGCGTTGGACAGACTGATAGTGCAAAGAATCTTTGGAGTGTCATTAAAAGGGGGGGGGGCTACAAAAAAAAAGGATATTGCAATATCCATTTCTATAACGATGAGCTTTTATTAGGAGATGTCTGAGCAAGGGGTGCTGTATGTTACAGACTGACAGAGATGCTGTTTTCTCGCGGAGGAAACCACAAACCTCAAAACAGCCTCTAAGAGATCATCAGGGAGTAATGGAGCGTAATAATCAACACCATCCTCATGTGAATGTGTACAAAGGTTCAGGCTTGTGAGAGCAACCCAGAGTGTTGCATGTGTGTTTGAATGTGTATCTGTGCTTAAGGGGTGTGTGTGCTTGGATTTCATTAGTAAAACGACCCTTAATGTGCGCAGAAACAGCACATAAATTACACCAATGATGTCTGAAATTAAGACTAAAGTAAATGTGTGTTTTTAATGTTCTGACTTAATTAGCTCTCGTTCTAACCTTACTCAGTCCTGTAAGGTCTGATGAGTGCTGCTTAGCCGAAACACATAATCGTTTCACTTTAATGTGCCCAAGCCCTTAATAGATCAAAGCAGTGCAATCAGACAAGCTTTGGCTTTTTTTATTTTATTTTTTTCGTGGGACCTACAATCCCCCAATTTCAAAACCACTTTTATAGGGATGCCTTAGGTATGCGCATAGCAGCAAAGCATATATGTTTGTAGACTTTTCTTGTTAATTTACAACACATGAATCTGCGTTATGAAGCACCTGGTTTGATTCTACATCTGAACATCCAACTCTTCAATGTACTTGGAGTGATCTGTGTTTGAACACTGAATCATTCACTGCATTGCCCGTACAGTTTGATGCCTGTAGAAATGTCTTTATCCTGTGTTACAGTGAATGTAAATGAAGTGACAGCATCTAGGGCACTCAGTCATTTCCTGTCAGAAGTAACTGAACATCAGAGCATGCAGGCCTCTTAATCTGATTAAAACCTGACTAGTATGGCCCATACTGATAAACAGAAACTGATGATGCTGACTTTCTATGGGTTTCAAAAAAGACAGCATACATACACCTGCTTTTCCAGAGGCAGAGTAGGGTCCACTCTCTCCCCCACCATTGTGAGGCCTTCGTGGGGCATTCGAAACTTCATTCCCCCTCCCGCCAGCGGACTGGATCTGGGCCCCAGGGGACGCAACCGCTCTGTTGGCGATGAGGAGCGATCCCACTCTGTATTATCAAACTGCACTGTTGGCAGGCGGGGACAGAAAGAGTGAGTCATGTTATTTACACAGCAATATTATCAAAAGGGATTAAGCCTCTCAGCCAGACTAGGGTAAACATCAGACATCGGGCTACTGCAAAGCTGCGCATGTGGCATAGGCCTCATGGGTGGGTCACACTACAGGACAGCACGTCGGGGTCCAACAGTGACAAAACTATCAGCAGTATTATCACAATTACCACGATCGGTGGGTTTGTAAGATTAGGGGGGCAGCGGAATGCAGGAATTTAGCGTCTTCTCTGCTTCCTTCTCGCACATGTCTTTGTTTGCAGTAGACAATGCAGATTACTCGATGTTGACTGTACCAATACTACTTTGGAGCAAATTACAGAGACTGAAGTGTTATTTACCCCTTTTCTGCCTGAATTTTGTGAAATTGAACCTAGTGAACTTGTAATTAAACATTAAGTGCACCACAGCACTACTAAGTACCCTGACATGAACACAGCCGACATCCTCGTTTATGGGGAGCTTTTCATGCATGGTTGATGCACGAGGGGAATGCGGTAAGAAGGGAGTGCTTACATCCCCCAACACCACATCCAACAGTTACAACAGGCAGGGACAGACGCAGGTGCTGCAGATGCAGGCCGCTGGTGGCTCAGAGTGGAGGCAGAGCAGATGCAGGACAACAGCTTGGGTCATATAGGTCAGGGCGACTGCATGTTTCAGTGCTTGGGTTGAAGAAGGAAAGTAGGGGAAGGGGGCTGTTGGTGTTCAGGGTGAGAGGTCACCTTGTTCTTTGGTGGGGTGCTCCTCCTCCAGCTGACCCACAGGGGCAGGCCAAGGCAACTCCGCCAACTCCCTCATTTCTAATAAAAGGCGGGAGCAGGGAGGAGGCAAGAGAAAAAGGAGTGAGAAAACAACAGATGGGTTTAAGCAAAGTTAAGCATGAAAAAACAGACAAGTGAGGAAAACGGTGATGATTAAGGAGTGAAAGTGAACTTGGGTGCAAGATTTTAGAGTGAAGAGAAGTCGACGTGACAAAGAAAAAAAGAAAGAAAAGAAAGAGGAAGCTGAGAGTAGGAGAGAAGACGTGTCAAATGAGAGATATGTAGTGCCATTCAGCGCAGTTAACTAAACCTAGGCAGAAGGGGAGAAGTGATATACTGTACCTTCTCTCTCCTCTTTCTCCACACACGTGAACAAACATAGCGTAGTGTTTCACAGCCAATATTTAAAGTAATTTATTGTGGAAGAGAAGACTAAAGAAAGCAAAGAAAATGAAACAGAGAGAGCAGGAGATGTCAGGCGTGGGTTATTTATCTCTATAAGTTCATCTTAAGAAACTGTCCCTTAGCATTAGATGTAATGAAAACAAGGATTTCATATGCAAGACAACCCACAGCGCAGCGTGACAGAGAAACTGTGACGCGTGGGGACGAAACATGCTCCATTTACCGTCGTACCTACAGCGAAAAAGCTACTGAAGGTGCACTCCGAGGCAGATCTGAAAATAGCTCATTATATACCATGGCAGGCGACCATCTAATGTAACAGTCATTACCGCAGCCTTACACACACAGACACACAAGGAGACACACGTACATTATGCATCTTTCCAGCTTCACACTGTGCATTCAGCTCCTGCTCACCGCAAAAACGGATTACAAAACAAATAAAAGGGAAAGAGGGGTGACATCTTAATGAGCCGACAAATCCAAAGACCCCCTAGGCCCACGACATCAAAGGCCATTTGAATGGGCGTTTGGAAAGAGACCCGGGCTGTACATACATGCCTCTCTCCCTCCCTGGTTAATTATTGAACAGGCAGACACACTCCGCCACTTTCTCTGGCTCTCGGTGAATTATTGATGCATGGCGCAGTACAATGGCCCCATCTGGAGCGGGCCGCACCTCCGCTCAAGCCAGGATTAAAGTGTGGCCTGGCACCCCTCAATGGGAGACACGCACGCAAACACAGGTCCACACACACACATGCACACATTTAACCTGAAACCCCGAAAACGCTGCCACTGCAACACTCTGCTGCCTGTCAGCTCACCTCCACATCACATTTCACACCTCTAATTCTCAAGTAAAACTGAGAGGGATGTGTGGAACGAGAGGAAGGTTTAACATCAGAAGCACACAAAAGCAAGTGAAGGGTAACAAGAAGAGAGAAAGAGAAATTGGAGACAGCTGAGACAATTTATTAGAGATCAAAAATGTGCTCAGCCATCTGAGTTAGAGATAACCTCAGCTAGTGGCGTGTTACAGGAGGAGAAAAGTCCATCAAGCTTCCTCATTTTTACTCCTATTGTTTGTCTGGTATTCTTGAATCTTAATTGCGCTCGCTCATCAAAAAACTGACTTAAAAATTTAATAATTCTTGAAAGACTGAAGTGGTTCAGCTGTTTATCCCGTCTCACATCATTTGTAGATTTTTGCTTTAATAGAAAAACGACTCATCTTTAACTGAATCCGACTGAATATTTTTAACAACACACTGGTTTCAAGGTGTTTTACTTAATTTATTTATTGATCGCACAACTTCTATTTAGACACCTCATGTTACTGCACTAGCCTTGATTATCACCAAGAACAAGCCTGAGAGTACGAAACCTTCAAAAACTGGCGAAATATTCGTAGTCAGACAAATACAAACACCAGACAAGTAAGATGCTGGGAAATCTGCAAAAAGTTAACACTGACTTACTAATATTGGGGGGGGGGCATTATTTATGTAAGGCGTGAAAAGTACTGGGGGAAAAATAAAGCGACTGAATCAGCAGCAACAACAGTCTGGGAACCCTTACTGCTCCTTAAATATCAGGTTACATTCACGTATTAAATAATAACTGCTCAGAAAGTAACTGAAACTGTCAGACAGAAGACAGATTTTGTGACTGTGTAACTTGTGCTGTGACCTTTGCACACATGCTACAAAGACTACAACAGCCCATCTGTAACAGGGAGGGCTGCACCCGTATATCAAAGGTGGTATTTTGTGGTAGAGCATCAAACACTTCATGAGGACACGATATGAGACTCACTTAATTTATTGAAGGGCTGTAATACAAGAGCTTTGATGGACATCTTTTTTTTTAGTTTTTTTTTAGTTTAAAGAAACAAAAGAAAAAAACAGGTTATCTTTGCGATCCAAATGCATTTCTCTTCTGGAAAAGACTGAGCAGAAGCATTACAGCACAAACCACAGAGCTCCTCCATTTAATAACAAAAGACTGAATCCCAAGCAAGCACACACACACAGACACACACACACTTATTCAAATTCACACACTCACAGCATGTCACTGATTTACTACCAGGGAACATCTGTTTTCCATTCACTCCTAATGGAACCTGTGGGTCTGTCATCCACAGAAAGTTCATCGATACAAAACAATGAGAATAATGGTTTACAGACAAATGCGCGCCCACATCAATAAACAAAGGCAATCTTTTTCATTTGTAAAGTAAATAATGTCTATGCAAAAAAAAGAGTGTTTTTTTATCCATTTTTAACCCAGATAATGAAGCAGGTAACAGCCATTTGTGGCCTGCCAAGATCTCCTGTTGCCGAAAATACCTGCTGACAATTACCAGAAATGATCTGAGGGGGAGGGAAATGAGAGTAGGTTTGACTCTGCGTGTTGCACAGAGGACACATCTCCTCATGTGATGGATAAGTAACTTTTCAAGTGCACCAGCTGTTTTCTGTGTCCTCATAATTAAGGGAGAGCAGACAAAGACAATATAACAGCATCATTAGGTCCAGTAATGAAGACAGCTGTTTTTCCAAATACCTCTGGCATCACAGCGTGTCTCTACACACAAAGACCTTCTGCTGGACACAAAGACGCCAGTAAGATTTATAATTATCACCTTATACCAGAAAAATGTATATTCAAACAAGTTCCCTTTCTATAACAACTCCTTACCCATCGTTTCTTTCTTCATTTTACAGACCTACATTATATCCATGTCCCTCTGGATTTATAATGCTCTCCGTCTTTTTTTTCTCCATGCTGAGCATTCCTCCTTCTTCATCACTACTCCTTCACCCGTTTCCCCCTTTAACTGGGACATTGTCTTTCTTTTCAGGCTACCTTGATCGTCTCTTTTCTTGCCCTACTCTACTTCTGTTATCTCTCGTACAGGCCAGTGAAGAAGAGACACAAATGAAATGTCTTTTCATTAATGCCAGTCAAGGTTTAGGCTGAAGGAGGGAAAAGGGAAAGACGGAAGGCGGGCAGAGTCTATTGTGTGAGTAAATTGATGAAGAGACTGGTCAGATGCCCCCAGGGCCTGCTTAGAGATACAGAGAGCAGCATCAATCCAGAAATGGAAATCTCATTTGCTGTTTCCTTTTTTCCCCTCACACACACACACACACAAACACACACACAGGTTACTGTATAGACACACACACAAACAAACATGCAGACACACACGCGCATGTTCAGGGTAGCCCTGGGAACCTTGCCTTGTCAGAGTACATGCATCAAGATAAAGCCTATACGCACACCCCATTTGTCATGGTGTCTTTGCAAGCTTTGCACAAAAAAGCATCTACTTTGGTAATCATGAACACTTTAAACCGCCCTTCAGCATCTGGCTTACGGTGCCATTTAGTTAAGAGAAGGATTTGAACTATTCATCTGTATATTTTCTTGGACAACCTGCAAAGCAATTGCCTGCAGATAAAAGGTCATACAGCTGTGATCAAAAGTTTTCATACACATTTACATTTGAAAAACGAGGACTGGATGCACAGGTTTGAGCTAATTCTTTTCCTAATCCACACATGTTCAAAAGTATACATACAGGCTCAAATATACACAAACACAATCACTTAAATCTGTTAACAAGTTATACTCGTTCTACAAGGTTTACCTTGACAAGGCCATGGCTTATTAACATCATTAATAACATCATCATTGACTACAACTGGTAGTTTCTCTTAAGCAGGATATGCTTGTGAGGGCTCATTGGATTGGCCAATGCTCAGAACAATGGCAAAGTTCAAGGAACTCAGTGAAGATCTAAGAAGGAAAATTTTAAGATGAGATTTCTAGGATCGGTTAGGATGTTTAGCAACACACCAGAAACCACCAAGGTTCAACCCTGATGAACTGGAAAGTGTTGGAACACCGGCGGTCACTGTCCACACTGACGTCTGTTGCACATCACCATGGACTGAGAAAGTACTGACCAAGAAAAAGGCCCTGCCCTAAGACGGACACCCCCTAGCTTAACTTAAATTTGCAGCTACTCACATATTCAAGCCAAAAGCCTTCTGGAGGAAAGTTTTATGATTAAATGAGAAAAAAAAAACAGAGCTATTTGTCTACAATAACAAAATGTTTGCAGTAGTAAAGTAGAAGCTTTCAAACCTAAAAGCACTATAACAACAATCATGCATGGTGGTGGTACCATCATATTCTGGGGCTTGGACATAACTGTGTGTTCCAATAGTAAAATGATACCAAACAAACATTTTTTAATGAATAAAGTAGGCTAACATAAACAATCCAGACAGACCTTCCCAAAGCCCCAACCTGAACCCTATTAAAAAATTGTGGATTATTTTTCAAAGCATGGTCCGTACCAGGAAACCAGCCAATTTAAATGAACTCTTCCATTTCTGCCAAGAAGAATAATTAAATATTCAGCTAGAATCACGCACACTGTTGTCTTTATCTTTAACCTCCTAGGACCTGGGCCCTATTTCAGGAAGCCGGTTTAGTGCAAAGTCTGACTAAGTATACCCTGAGTTAACGAAAACTCTGGTTTTTCGGTTTCACAAAGCGAGTTCAGCTGAAGCCTGAGTGAGTCACTATGACGACACACTCCGTGAAGCTAACCT